ATAGCTAGAGACTGATCAGATGATATGTAATGACTAGATTTCTAATGCATAGTTAGATGAAAATGTGACTCAAGCCTCATTGGTATTGGAAGCAAACAGGAAGTCACAAGAAATGCTGTATAAAGGAGGGTTGTGCTTACCCTTCCAAAAAAATTCCTCATTTTAAACAAACTGGAACATTTTCTTCTTGGCCAAAAAGCGAAAGCATAAGGTATTCAGCAGAGTTAGAGTGAATACATAGATAAGTTAATCCACATTCTCATGTGTGAGAAAATTCAAAAATCTCCAAATAGTAGAATTGGAGAGTTTAATATAAGAATATTTTTGAAAACAAAGCTTTTATTCTTACTTTAACTTTGAAATATTTCATGTTATAATAAATGAAATCTCTGTTTTACCTCCTAAATCATCACAGTGAATAAAGCCAAATACCTTAGTAAAGGAAACTTAACATGGCTTTAATGAAAAAATTTGAATTTGTTCTTCAGTGAGCTACATAGAGATTGGGATCATGTTTACTGTGCTGTAGAAAAAGAACTTTTCTCAAAATCAGTGTTAAGGTCCAATTTTTAGGATGTGCCATTAGTAAACTCATGAAAAAGTTCTACTGGGTAATACTGGTGTGAGAGACCTTTTAGAAAACCGCTATAAGGTTAGGAGTTGAATCCAAAATAGGCTTTATATCACTGACATTCAAGTATTCCATCTAAGTCCTTACCTCAACCAGTAGATTAAAATGAACTGATTTACTACAAGCAGCAACATTTCTACAATATAAAATCTTGAAACTTGACAGTAATGCATGTGAGAGTGCAGAAATACTTCTGAATGCACACCTGCATCCTTTATTTGTTTTTCTCACAGTCAATAATTCTCTCAAAGTAGTGACATGGTTTTTGTAATTAATCATAAATACAAGTAATTAAAAACTACCAAAAACATAAGCTACTGTTTGTTTATTTAGATATTTTTCTCATTAGCAACGTATTCAGAGCAGGAATACAGGAGTACATTCGGGATATGTTTCTAAACAAGACACCAGCTAATAACAGAGTACAGTCCTACATCACCTAACATTATAATTGTATTCCAGCAAAAGAAGAATCCAAGAGTTCAGGTGCCCTCACCCCTGAGAACTAATTATTGATCAGACACACTTCCTCTGCAAACCATGTAATACCACATAAAGGTCACCATGGACAGCACAAATTACTTTTATTGAACAGTATAGTGAAGAGGCATTAAAGGCAAAAAAGCACCTTTATGTTGTTTTGGCAAGCAGTTGATTGTGACTGTGTTGTTCATAGTTCTGAAATCTGAAATTGTAACACTGGCTCTCCTGAGTACCTAAGACTATTTGCTTTGGGAGTTCAGTATCTCCCAAATGAATCAGGTTGAGCAATCTGTTTGCACAGAACAATAAAACGTTAAAAGAGTAATGAAATGCATCTGCAGTGTATTTTTTGAACATCTACACAGGTGAAGGGAGTGACTCTTTAGAAGACAAACATCCACTTGATTATGTCAGACACTTTAATTCACATTTTGTTATTTGATTGATAATAACTGATATATCCTACTTCAAAACAAATTATTTAAATAAAACAATATTTATAAGTGACCATACCATAAAAAAACCCTCAAAACAAATAGACGTAAAAGTCCCCAATCATATTAGATAAATTAGGAAAATAAAATATTTTGATCCTTTTGAAGCTAAATTTTGTTCCATCTCTTCTTTTGAAGGAAAAGATGTTCCACAAAATTGAAATACTCAGAAATACAATACTCAGATTGTACAGAAAACTCCTAACAGCATCGACTAAATCTGAAAAGAAATATGCAGTTTTTAAGACAGTTAATGTTTAATGCCTTGTTCCACCATTGCTGTTGACACCACTCAGAAATTAGAAATCAAGAAAACATAATATATGGGAAAAAGTTAAGAGTTTGGTTTATATGAAAGCCAACAAAGAGCTATTTTGTAATGCTCTTCAGGCAAGTACAAACTTGCTGCTAAGAAGAAACAAACGACATATTTTCTATCTCCCTAATGAATGGGACAGAAATATTTAGTTGTAGCAGTTGTTATTATAATATTTTCAGATGAAGTATTAAGATAAACTTTTCAACTATGAAAATTATTAAGCACCAGCCTCTAGAGGCTATACAACATCTAGCCTTGGAAGTTGTTAATTATAGGCTAGTACAGTATCAGGAATATCCACTGGTACCATGGGCATGTTCTTGGCCAGGGCAGTTGATTTTTTCAAGTTCTTTGGTCTTCTATGCTTTCCTTGTGGCTTGTTTTTGTTTGTCATACCATTTCAAGGTTTTCTCCAAGCAGTGTCTAGCCTGAGTCTTCATTACTGCAGAATCCAGTTTGAGACAGCAACTACAGTCTTCTTTACAAGAGAATCATAGCAACTACAGTCTTCTTTACAAGAGAATCATAGAATCGTAGAATCAACCAGGTTGGAAAAGACCTCCAAGATCATAAAGTCCAACCCTTGATCCAACACCGTCGTGGTTACTAGACCATGGCACGAAGTGCCACATCCAGTCTCATCTTAAAAACCTCCAGGGACAGAGAATCCACCACTTCCCTGGGTAGCCCGTTCCAATGCCTGTTTACCCTCTCTGTAAAGAATTTCTTCCTAATATCTAAGCTAAACCTCCCCTGGCAGAGCTTAAGACCATGCCCTCTTGTTTTACTGATAGTTGTGTGGGAGAAGAGACCGACACCCACCTGGCTACAACGTCCTTGCAGGTAGAGTGATGAGGTCTCCCCTGAGCCTCCTCTTCTCCAGGCTAAACAACCCCAGCTCCTAGCTGATGTAATTCACAATTCATGCATGACAATGATTACTGATATAACTAAAATAGCAAGGGTTATCAGTTTTAAAGTGTCTAAAACCAATTGTATCCCCATCTGAGATTTAGAAGATACTTATCTAACAATATCAAATGGCATGTTTAGGTTCATTATGGGGTTTTTATCCCTTTCTCATGTGACACTCGTTGCTCAGGCAATAAGATAGCATATTAAATAGGATCAGAATATCCTTGTGTCCCACTGTGCTGCTAGATGATGCACAGAGAGACTTCTCCAAGTCAGAAGATGAAAATATATATCCTTCAGAGAGGAAATGGCCATGTTTTTTAAGCTATGAAAGTATAACACTAAATACTTGAAGAGCATGGAATCCCCTGTATCATACTCAGCATTTAGGCATCCTTGAGACCGTGAAAAGGCCAAAGTACTGTACAAGTAAGGGCCTTTCTGGACAGCAAATGAAGATGGAATATATCTATGGCCAGTGATGTCCACTTTGGTTTATCCAAAGAAAAGGGATAGTGAAGATGTGTAGAAATTCCCACAAAGAATGAAAATGAAGCAAAACAGACACTTGACGGTAACAGAGGGAGCTGCAGAGAGATGAAAATGGATGGGTGGCTGCTTAGGGAATAAAACAACAGCCCCAAATCACTCTGCTGGAAATCAGCTGACAAACCTAGGTAAGTAATTGTGTCATTCAAAAACAAAAGCAAAAACTGAAGTGTGATTTTCAAGCTCTGCTTCACTGTCTAGCATATATAGACATGAGATGTGGAGACACATAAAGATGTACATTTACATTTTAAAAGCTGACTGAAGCTGTCTACATCCAAGTACAGACCTTCACCTCAAGTACAAATTGATCTGGTTATTGTTCTGCAGTTTTGAATCTCGACTGTTGCATATATAGATGGTAAACTTGAATGAGTTTACTTTCTTATTTACCCTCAGTCATAACTCTTTAAAAGTCAACAGCATTACCATTTCAAAAGGAATTTAACTGATACTGTAAGTTTAACTCATACTGTAGTAATCAAACATCACAGAGGGAAATCCGTATGCTCTGACCTACCTTCAGGTAGATTAGAACACTATGTTTTCATTCACATTGTTGAAGACATTTTATTTTGGGTCAATATTTGTTCTAAATTAGATCAAAATCAGGCCTAGTGTTAATACTTTTCACATCTTTTTTCCCCCACCATGAGGTAGATCAAATAAAAGCAAAAAAAAAAATCCACCAAAAATAAGAAACCTCTAAAGTCCAGAGTTCTCCCTCCTATGATGATCACCAAACTGCCCAACATTAGCAAAATCTTGCTGTATTTGTGAATATATTTCTAATTTACAATTTTCTAAGACAGCCAAAATCTGGAACAAATATCAATCAAAAATGCATATCAAAGCCTCTAATTAATATCACTTGAAATTTTTTTCAAAAAAATCCATTAAACAAAAGCAGTTATTTTTCAACTAATGTTGTCCTTTAACAAACAGTTAAAGGATAAATGGGGCCCCTGGTGGTCTAGTGGTTAGGGTGCAGGACTCTCACCGCTGCGACCTGGGTTCGATTCCC